ATACAACCTAACTGAAACACATTAGAAAGGAATGCAGAGCAGGAAGGAAGAGCTTGAGGCCCTTGGAAGGGAAGAGGGAACGTGAAAGATCATTGCTTAGGCATGGCCTCCCTCCCTCGAGTACTCAGGGGTACAAATGTTTAAAAGGACTCTCTGAAATCAAAAATATATTTTAAAAAAAGAAAGCACTCAGCAGTGCCCAGCATGTGGTCAGTGTTTAGTAAGTGACAGGTACTAGCACTGCCATGAGGCCTACTGTGGAAGAGCAGCATGTACCTTGGTTGCGGGCACCGCCCCAGTGGGGAGTGTGCAGGAGCAGCTGATCAATGTTTCTAACTCTCTATCCCTCTCCCTTCCTCTCTGTAAAAAAATCAATAAAATATATTTAAAAATAAATAAATAAATAAAAGGACATGTTACTTTCATGAAGAATGAGAAGTTTGCTCTGGTCAGCAAAAGGTGTGAGCTGATGATGAAGGGAAATTAAGCTGTGGATAGGTCAGCAGGGACTTGATGCTAAAGGGCCTTATGGTTCAGACCAGAGGCCTAGATTTCGTTAGGAGGGCAGTGTATGCCTCTGAAGGGAGTTTCACAGAGTGGTGCCAAGGTCATATCAGAGCTTTGGGTACATCACTGTACCCACCGTGTGAAGCCTGGTTTGCGAACATGGGGGGTCGGGGGGAGTGAGTAGAGGCACTTAGGAGTTGAGGGCCATTAGGACATTGTTGGAAAAAGATGTTGGTGCCTAGACTGAGTGTGGCAATGGCCATGAGATTCAAGAACCATTAAAGGGTGGACTTGGTAGGATTTGGGGACAAGCAGGGTGAAAGTTCAGATTTCTGGCTTGAGCATCAAGACAAATGATAACATTCATTTGGTATAAGGGACCAGGACAAGTTTGGGACATGGAAGAGGAAGAACTGAGTCTGGGACTTCTGCAGGAGGGTCAGGAGGCAGGGTGTGGGCCATCTGGAGGAATGGCCATCTGCATTGCAGTTAGGAATGATTTGCTAAATTGGTTTGGTCATTGTTTGAACCAGCAAGGTGCTCCCTGTGTCATTGCAGCAAGTGCCAAGCTGGCTTGACCTCTCCGAGATGACCGAGCAGCCCGACTACGACCTGGAGACTTTTGTGAACAAGACAGAGTCTGCCCTGGCCCAGCAAGCCAAGCACTTCTCAGCCCTGCAAGGTGGGTGCAGCTGGATGGGGAGCTGCAGAGTGGGGTCTTTGCAGGTGATGGCAGCTCTGCCCTGAGGGAGTGGGGCCTCTGAGACACCCTCTAACCCTTAGTGTACCACCTCTCTCCTTCCTTCCAGATAACATCAAGGCCTTACGCTTGGCCATGCAGATGGAAGAACAGGCCAGCAAGCAAATAAGCAGCAAGAAACGGCCCCACTGACGACTGCAAATAAAGATATTTGGTGTCACACCCAGCCTTTTCACCACCCCACTTCTCCCCAGTGAACTGTGTGCACCTGGTTCTGAGCTCAGACAGGCTTTGGTAAATGCCAAGTATTGGGGCATCAGAGCCAGGGCAGCTGGGGAGATCAGAGTGACATGGGACGCTACTTTCCTTCCTCCATTGTAGTCCTGAAGGGAGCAAGGACGAGAAGAGGAAACTTTTAACTATCCTGTGTGGCCCTTCTTTCCAAGTGGGGAAGGCTCGTTGGCATAGAACTTTCTCTTGGTCAGCATTCTGCCTGAGTGGACTGGCTGCTGGCGGCTGTGACCTGCCATCCTTGGTCTGGGCACTAAAGTGTCTTATACTTTTAAACCTCTTCGTTCCTTGCTTTGCTGTTTTAAGGTCTAAGACGATCTCTATTGTTTTTTGTTTTGTGGTTACACATTGTGTCTAACAATAAAGAAAGAGGGAAAAAAAATCAGCCTGTTGTGTGGCATGTGTGAAAGGCCTGGAGTGTGTCTGAACCTTCTGAGACTAAGGACACTACTGCAACTCTGGGCAGTGCTGATTCTGTCCTCTACCTGGGAGACCAAATCCACACCTGCAGATGACCTGGTTCATATGTTGATACTCAACCACTGAGCCACACTGGTTGGGCCCCAATACATTTTTGAATACAAGTGGCCAGGGTGGACATCCTTGTTTTATTTCTGATCATTAAGGATAATATAAGCTGTGGAGTTTTGTAGGTGGCCTTTATCAGGTGGAGGAAGTCACTTCTGTTTCTAGTTTGTAGAGTATTTTTATCATGAAAGTGTATTAAGTTTTGTAGATTTTTTTCTGTGTTTTCCCCTTTATTCCATCAATATAGTATATTAATTTATTTTCAAATGTGAAACCAACCTTGCAAATCTGGGATAAATCCCACTTGTTTATGGTATATAGTGTTTTTTCCTTTTTTAAAAAATGTTTTTTATTGAGTTTTAGAGAAAGAGAGAAAGGGAGAGGGAGGGAGAGAAAGAGAGAGAAACATTGATCAGTTGCCTCCTGTACACACCCAACTGGGAACTGAATCTACCGCCTGGGCATGTGCCCTGAACAGTAATCAAACCAGCAACCTTTCAGTGCATGGGGCGGATGATGCTCAACCAACTGAGCCACACAGGCCAAGGCATGATGTATAGCTTTTTCTGTTGTTAATCCTCACCCAAGGATATTTTTTTCGATTGATTTTTAGAGCGTGAAAGGGAGGGAGGGAGGAAGAGAGAGTGAAACATCAGTGTAAGAGAGACACATAGATTGGTTGCCTCCTGCATCAGTCCTGACTAGGGGCAGGGGTTGAATCTGCAACCCAGGTACATGCCCTTGACCAGGAATCGAACTCATGACCTTAGGTTCCTGGGCCAATGCTCTTACCATTTAGATACATGGGCCACAATACATAGCTTTTAATTCCTGTTTGTGCAGAGCTTCAAGATCAGCCATATCTCACTGATATTAGGGTCTTTTCAGGTCTTATCTGGCTTGGCATACACTCAGCCCTGCATATGCGCAAGGCCTTCTAACTTCCCAGGAATATGTTTTTCAAATCCCTTCATTGCGCTTTTTCCTTGTAAGTAGGTTTTGGGGTTTGTGGGGGTTTTGTCAGCCTCTTTTTAAAAAAATATATATTTTATTGATTTTTTACAGAGAGGAAGGGAGAGGGATAGAGAGTCAGAAACATCGATCAGCTGCCTCCTGCACGCCCCCTACTGGGGATGTGCCTGCAACCAAGGTACATGCCCTTGACCGGAATCGAACCTGGAACCCTTCAGTCCGCAGGCTGACGCTCTATCCACTGAGCCAAACCGATCAGGGCAAGGTCAGCCTCTTATTAGGCCCAACTAGTAATGCTCCCTCAGGTGTCTGTGTTGCTCATGTGTAGGCACCCACAAAACGATAGGAGTAGTACTAGAAAAAGTATCAGTGAGGCAGGATTTAAAATCTTCCAGGCATAAGTTGGTAAGAACCAGCATTTATGGGTAACTGCAGTAAAGAGGGGTTGTGAATGTTAAGGTCTTATAGCATAAAATTCAAAGTTTGTGGTTTTTAGAGAAGATAGACTAAGGATGGCCTAAAATTGGCAAAGACCATGGAGCACACCTCTCCCATCTAGAGAACTAGAGTGTAGTCATCTTCCACTTGAGAAAGGTTGACCAGAAAAAGTCTTCTGAGATAATCAGGTTTCTGTTAGAAAGCAGAGGAAACATTCAGAAGGCAAAATTTAGAGAAGAGGTTGAAGACAGAGGATTTTTTCCTGGTGAATGACACACCACATACTAGTAAGATTGTAGGAACTGGATGCTGAGAAATCTGTATAAATATATATTTATCTGCCTCAGGATTTGAATGTGGGTAATAGCGCCCTAGCCACTTTGGCTCACTGGATAGAGCACAGGCCTGTGAACTGAAGGGTCCCGGGTTTGATTCTGGTCAAGGGCACATGCCCACATTGCAGGCTCAACCCCCAGAAGGGGGCAGGCAGGAGGCAACCAGTCAATGATTTTTTCTCTCATCATTGATTTTTCTATCTCTCTCTCCCTCTCCCTTCCTCCCTGTAAACAATCAATAAAATATATTTTAAAAAAAAAATAATAGAGTGAAATAAGAAAACCACCTCTTTGACAACTTAAATGCCATTAGCTTCCTAATCCCAAGATTTACATTCATTACAAATTTGATATGAAATAGAAAATATATTTATTATTTTATTTTATTATTTTTTTATATTTTATTGATTTTTTACAGAGAAGAAGAGGGATAGAGAGTTAGAACCATCGATCAGCTGCCTCCTGCACACCCCCAAGTAGGGATGTGCCCTCCAAGGTACATGCCCTTGACTGGAATCAAACCTGGGACCCTTTAGTCCACAGGCTGACGCTCTATCCACTGAGCCAAACCGGTTCGGCTATTTTTTTTAAAATATATTTTATTGATTTTTTAGAGAGGAAGGGAGGATAGAGAGTTAGAAACATCGATGAGAAACATTGATCAGCTGCCTCCCGCACATCTCCTACTGGGGATGTGCCCGCAACCCAAATGCAAGCCCTTGACCGGAATTGAACCTGGGACCCTTCAGTCCGCAAGCTGACGCTCTATCCACTGAGCCAAACCGGTTTCGGCAGAAAATATATTTAAAAAAAGAATGTGGGTGATAGTTATTATTTGGGGAGATAACTTTTTAAAATATATTTTTATTGATTTCAGAGAAGGGAGAGGGAGAGAAAGAGAAACATCAATGATGAGAAAGAATCATTGATCAGCTGCCACCTGCACGCCTCACACTGGGGACCGAACCTGCTACCTGGGCATGCGCCCTGACCTGGAATGGAACCATGACCTCTTGGTTCATAGGTCAGTGCTCAACCACTGAACCACACCAGTCAGGCAGGAGATAATTTTTCAAGGTAACTAATGAAAAAAAGGGCCAAAGCCATAATGTGATCACTGATGGTCTCAAAGCAAATGGAGTAGTGTCCAGGAGAGGGTATTAAGGGAAGCAGAAGAGAGGCTCTCTCCAGGATGACATGAAATTACACAGCCCCTATTCCTGGGTCTTCCAGTTCCTGGTAAGAAATTTAGATTTTATTCTACCGGGTCATGGGCAAGGAATGTCACCAACTCTCCAATCCCAGGACTCTTGACAGTCACACCCACCATGGCCACAGCCCACACCCAAAACATTTATCTAGCCTGGGACATTTCTGGAAGCCTCCCCTCAAGGCCAGTTTAGGGGTGCTGTAGTCCCCACAGAGGGACTCAGAACAGGAAAATCCATAACATGGGAGCACTCCATTGAAGCTGTTAGATCTTCAAAACCAGGCTTCAGGCCATGACACCCTTTCACCCCAGGGCCCACAGTTTGTCTAAGACACTTCTCCACTGACCATACAGGGTCAAACTAATTTCATGGGTAACACATAAACACCCCACACACACCAAAGGGGGGGAAACAAATTTAGATTTTATTCTGAATGTGCTGGAAGCCAGTATGAGATTGAAGATACAGAAGAAAGGGATAATGTTGAGAGAATCCCTTCCAATGAATGAGATAGTATGGAGCCAACTATAAAAGGGCCTATAAATCAAGCAGTTTATTCCTTAAAAAAACAAAACTGCTGCCGGGACCGGTTTGGCTCAGTGGATAGAGCGTCGGCCTGCGGACTGAAAGGTCCCAGGTTCGATTCCGGTCAAGGGCATGTACCTTGGTTGCGGGCACATCCCCAGTGGGGGGTGTGCAGGAGGCGGCTGATCGATGTTTCTAACTCTCTATCTCTCTCCTTTCCTCTCTGTAGAAAATCAATAAAATATAAAAAAACAAACAAACAAACAAAACTGCCCTCTGTGTCCTCTTCAGTCACACCCCTTCAAACTTCTCAAAACAATTATCTACATATATTGTATTTTTAAAATTTCCCCTTGTTTCAAGTTTTTGGAAAAACTAATCAAGTTTTGTCCACTTCATTGCACAGAAACTGCTCTTGCCAATGCCACTCAACAATCCAAAAATCACTTTTTAGTCTTCCTTTTAACTAGACATCATAGTAGCATGAGACCATGACATGACCCTCACCCAGTGCTGTCACTCTAATTGCTCCTTCTGGCTCCCTTGCAAGCCTCTTTTCTTTGCCTGGCCTTAAATGTTGCCATTCCTCAAGCCTTGAACCTAGGCCCTCTTCTATTTCTTTATACCAGAGGTTGGCACACTACTGTGTACTGATGGGGCCCAAGAGCTTAGTGGTTTTTGTGTTTGAAAAAAAATTCAAAAGCATAGTATTCCTAACAAATGAATCCCAGTATCCATAAAGTTTTATTGGCACACAGCCATATCCATTTGTCTACCTTTGTCTATGGCTGCCTTCACACTACAACAGCAAAGCTGACACAAACTATAGTCCGCAAAGCCTAAAGTATTTACTTACCTTTTACAAGAAAAGTTTGCCTTATGCTGTCTCCCTAGATTACTATATTCATTCTGGCAGCATTAATTACCATTTATAAACCAATGATTCCCAAAAGATCCTCTGTCCAGATCTCTTCCATAAGATGACCAGACACGAACATTCAGCTGCCTGTTGTCAGAGAGAGGGAGAATTCCCTTTCACTTTTAGTTCTTATGGCTGGACTAGTAACAAGAGTAACATTGACATAACACTGGATTAACAGAAAAATCCATTTACATGTGTACATGGGAGAATCACAATATGATGGTCAGATAATAAAATGAGGCTTCAATAAATTATCAAACCATCTTTTAATATTTTTTAGACAATAAATTTGTGAGAAACTAACAGGACAAAGAAAGTCAGTGCTCATAAGAAATCTAAGCAAGGTTTGGGCTTGAGTAGTAAATCAGTAAAGGCTAATGCTTGTTTCTACAGCCTGGTCAGCTCTGAGCTACTTAACTCTTATCAGTAAGGGGTTTTTCTCCCAGCTGGTGTGGCTCAGTGTCCGCCCATGAACCAGGAGGTCACGGTTGATTTCCAGTCAGGGCAGGTGCCTGGGTTATGGGTTCAATCCCCAGTGGGGGCCAGCAGGAGGCAGCCGATCAATGATTCTCTATCAGTGACGTTTCTCTCTCTCTGAAATCAATAAAACATATTAAAAACTAAATAAGGTGTGTCTTCCATGTGCAGGGAGGACACTTTCACATGGGAGATTTATTTTCTGCATGTAAGGAGACAATGGAAAGTCAGGTGCCCTTCTGTTTCTCAAGTATCTAATTAACCGATATGCCATTATGTGATATTTCGGGGTGGCCTGCCTCAGGCCTCAACACTGCCATTCCCACTTACATGAGTCGCCAAGCTCCTACCTAAGCCTACTCCACTTCAACAAAAATAGTACCAATACTCACCCAGTTGGTCAAGTGAATTACTGAAAATCCTTGACACACCTCCCTCTCCCTAAACCCCAACATCCAATTTCTCCCCAAACCCTTCAAAACAAAACCCAAGCTCATCCCTCCTTTCCATCTCTACTGCCTTTCACCCTTTTCCAACGCCCCACATCTCATCCTGGGCCACTGCAAAAGCTTCCAAAAGGCATCTTCTCAAAGGGCAAACGGCCAGGCTACTCCCCACGCCCCCTCGGCCGTGCCCGAGGCTGGGTACAGCCTCACCCTCCACCAAAGGTCA